ATTCTGGATGCCTGCAAAAACTGTTGCTGGCATGGAAATACTGTCAGCTACCAAGGCCTTCATATCACATTCTAGGTTTGAACAGTTCAAAAAGACCCTTCCCTAAGTTCTCTTGCACATTTTATCAATCTACTTTCTACATACACAATTTAAGAGTATTTTGGCCACTGTAAAGTTGCAAGTACTGGAAAATTCTTACAGAGGAAACAATTTCTAGGCTAGAGTATCAAAACCGATAAATGTCAGTGCTACTGAAATGACAAACCACAAGCCTTAGCAATGCTGCATCAAATATTTCCATCATATCAGTTTTCAGAACTCTACATCTTGATAAATGTACATTGTTTTACACCCGGTAACACAACATAGCAGTTTAATTCCACAAATATAAGCTGTACACTCTTTGATACATGTTTACACTCACAAAAGGCAAAAAGACCAAAACTACAAGTAATTCACTATAGAACACATTTTATTTTTCTGTGTGTAAATCACATTTATTGACCATGTGATATATACAGGAGGTCTTAGCAAAGGGACCACACCTTCACACAAAAACTTCTAGCTGAAGAAGTTCTAAGGTTAGATATTGAATAAATGTAATAAGGTCATGGCTGTGACACTCCTTTGGGAAACTCTCACTTCAAGTATGCCAGCTAAGGATAGTTCCATGATAGGAAAATTTGCCTGCCTATCATTCAACCGCCCCATGCCTTTTCTTACAACACCCTGCATTTTGTATTTCTCTGAAATCTCCAAATGAGAATACTATGGGGATTATGTATCCATCACACTTAAGAATTTTGAAATTTCAGGTTCTTAAATATCGGGGCTTCAATTTTAGGCCAACAGCACATCCTAGTGGGTACTCACACTATTCCATGGGTTTTGAACTATACTTCAGTCACAGCTCTTGTGGCATCCTTCAGTGCACGCATGCTTCTTCCTTCCCTATATGGAATAACAAAGAATGAAGTTAGGATTTTGGAAGTGTGTGCCAATTAATAAAATTGAGGTAATTCAGGAACACAGAAGACTTTACAATTGGTTCCATATATCTTTTAAGCAAAAACATGCTTCTGAATATGCTTAATTTTATCCAATTTTAGGCAATGAACAGTAGTGTCATTTGTTCTTTTGTTTTAATTTGTCAATAGGAAAAAACAACTCCAGTTTAATAGGGGCAGATTTACCTGGGAAACATGATCTTAGTAATATGTGCATATTACTAAGTACTAGGCTAATCAATAAAATTATATATTTACTCATCAAAAATGCATCTATTACAGCTTGAGGGCTTTGCCAGTCAAGCATGCAGCACAGAGAGCTGTCTGTTGAAACAAACAAAAATCAAGAAAAAAATGGAAAGCAAACGCTCTTTAACTCTCATTTTATAATAGTCCAATTTAGAGATTTTTAACTGACTTCACATGGGAAGAGTTGTGAAGTAGGGAATACGGACATGGAAAATCTTCAAGATATTTTCTCCCAAGTAAGTTCACAATTTTGCATAGCTGCAAAACCTTTCAGCATATTTCTCACTTTCTGGTATTGTCATATTTGTAACATATATTTTCCATAGGAAAGATGAGGTGACGTGTGTCTTTTAAAGAAGCTGTCCTGTGAATGGAGGTCTGTATCATTAACAGGCTCTGTAAGCTGAAGTTTGGTGAAAGGGGGTGTGGGAGATATCTTACGAGGACCACTTAAGAACCTCACGATTGTGTAAACTGGAGAAACAGTGGCTGAAGGGCGACCCCCAAATCAAATCAACAACCCTTTTAATCTCTAAAGCTTCCTGAAGAGGGGAAGTAGAAAGGGAGGTGCTGATTTATTCTCCCAGGCATCCAGTGGTAGGACAGCTGGGAATGGTTCAAAGCTGCATCAAGGCAGGTTTAGACTGGACATCAGGAAGCATTTCTTTACCAAGAGAGGAGTGAAACACTGAAGCAGGATTCCTGGTCAGTTGGTTGATGCCCCAGGCCTCAGTTTCAGAGGTGCCTGGACAAGGCCTTTAATAACATACTTTAACTTTTGGTCAGCACTAAAGCTGTCAAAGAGATGATTGTTGTAGGCCCCTTCCACCTGAAATATTACTATTCTATTGTATTCTGTGTTCTGTTCTATTCTGTTCCATTCTATATTTGCCAGCTGAACATCTGCAATAATCAGTAGGCAGCACACTTCGGCAACAGAACCTGATTCCATGAAGGAAGAAAGGCAGTGACCCTTCTGTACTTGGATTCACATATTTCTTTCCCCTTCTTGAATCAGTTTCAGTTGTTCCAGGGCAATTTTATTCCCTGATAAATTATTGGGGTTTTTTTGGTTTTTTTTGGTTTTTTTAATTGTTAAAGTATTTAAAATCATTATATGAGAGACACAGATTTTGTGCTGCTAATGTGTGGCTTTTCCAAAGGCTCAAAAATCAGAAGTCAGTTAAAAGGATCCCCAATTTTAGTTCATGGTCTTCTGCTACCCGACTCACGTTCGATGTGTTACTGCCAGTGCTAACGTCTTAATTTGGCTGAGAGGAAAACTGCCCAGAAATAGTCCCTGTGCCCCACCTACAGGCGAATCCATCATTCTCCCTAACGCCGTGCAGGTCTCAAAAATTCTCTCCTGAGAAGGGGAGTGAAAGGCTCCAGCACTCTCAGCTTTGTTAGCAGCCGCAGCTGGGTACATACACTGTGTTTTAAAGCTGTAGCTGCAAGGTGAGAGATAACAGAGGGTTTTTTTGTCAGTCCCCAAACATTTCCTAAATGAGCATTGACAGTGGCTGCTACAGCAAGTAAGCTTGTTACAAGCAATGATGCTGCCCACTTATCTACCAGAAATAGAGATAATTTTCTGGAACATTTTCCATATCAGAGTTCAGGAATCCTTGCTGTAAATAAAACAGTTAACATAAGGAATTCTTAGTAAAAAACTATTAACTTCTCGACAGAAGGACACATATTAGGTAGTGAAGAAAAGGTGCTCTTCAGGTAATACTTTTTGCTATAAATAAATATATTGAATTTTTTAGTTGGAAGGGACCTCTAGTCATGGTCCACATGACAGTTTTCTTTCTTCACAGAGGGTGGGGTATGGGAGGGATTTGTTTCTATAATCTTTGTCAGAGCTGAAAAATTTTATTGTAGAGGTGTTGAGCAGCAAATTTTTCCACCATTTTTTGTCACCATATTATATGGCAGCAGTCTTATTCCCATAAATGCCATAATCCAAATGGTTGAGGTTTGAAGGGACTTATGGTGGTAGCTAAAAAATCTACGGCTAATTAACATGCACAAATCTGAGTGACCAAGAAAAGAAAGAAGCTGCATCTCAAGTTACCACCCAAATTACTGCTTACAGATGCTTCCAAAACCCAGTCACTCTCTGCCATGAGAAACAAGGAAGTAATCAGAACGTTGTGGCAACATTTCCCTAACAAAGATCAACTTCTTTTAACTGGTGACAGCCCTCTGATGGAGAAATGATGGAAAGGAAAAAAGAAATTAAATTGAGTTTTTAAATCTCATTAAGATTTAATAAAATGAAATAAAAACACCCTGGAAAGTTTGGTGATGTGAGTAAGCAGTAGAGTAGAGTAGACTGATCAGGTGTTTGCCATTGGATGTGATGTGAAAGAGCTGACAGTAAGACCACTATAACTGAGGTGAAATCTGTGATTTTTCACTGTATGAGAATTTGAATTTAATCCGTATTGTCCACCTCACAGGGAAATTATGATCGGGCAAGAGGGACAGCTCAGTTATAACCATGCATCTGCACTTGCATAAAATAAAGCAAGAACAAAAAATGATGAAACCTATGAAACAAATGGCATACGAATAAAATAGAATTAATGAATAATAAATACCACATAGTTTTCCAACCACAATTATAAAATAGTCTCTTCTCTTTTCCATTTTAATTAACAAATTTTTATAGGGTTCCATAATTCCAGTTTATTATATTTCAACATGAACTCTCCTTTAAATAAATTTGAAATTCATGAGAGCGGAATTTATATAAAGATTGGCATCAACAACAATTCACATCAGTCTTTCCAGTAGCAGGGAATGCTGTTAGTACAGCTGTTATGGGAAAGTTCTGGGGAGTAGCTTTGTTACTCTTTCTCTTATATTAGAAGCCCTAATAGTGAAGGTCCATTTGGTTTTTACCAATATTTCACCAGTAGCTTTTCGCTGAAAGCCAGAAGGAAGATGGAGATAGGGTTAGTGCCGCACAGCGCTGCTCACTGGCAGCCCATCCAATGCTTGGGGAACTGCCCCCTTCTCTGAGATGTCAACTACAACTTCTGCACAGAAATAACAGATCCTGTTCCTCAGTACTTCTTCATTCATGGGGCGTTTTAGTGACGCCTCAAAGTAAAATCGGCATTTGCCTCCTTGCAAGAATTGGGAACTGCAGTTCCTTGGGCATTTTTGGCAGTGTTACCACCTCAGGGCCTGTTTTTGCCACTGACTACTGCGGGCTTAGCTGGCAAGTTGGCAGCTTTAGCACGGCACTTTCAAAACACGGAACCAAACGTTCAACAAACAGCTGAGCTAACACCCATTTTGCATTATTTTGCACTACTGGCGCGCCCACTGGAGTTTCCACGTCTCGGCTATGTCGCAATCCCTGCCGGCGCCTCCAGGGCACTGCGCGCCCCGGGCGGCTCCCAGGGGAGGCGTGCGAGGGCAGGGCCCGCGCTGAGCGAGGCAGCTGAGCAGCGGCTCCGGGCCAGCCGCACCGCTGCCGGCACCGCTGCCATTCCCGCTGCCATTCCCGCTGCCATTCCCGCTGCCATTCCCTGGCTCCAGCCGCTCGGGAACGCGGCACAGCGCACTGCCAGCGGCGGAGGTGTGTGGGGGGAACACGCCAACCCCCGGCTGCTCCCCGGTGGGCGGGGCCGCGGTGATGGGCAGGGCCCGCAGCCAATCAGAGAGGCCGCCGCGGCGGGGCGGGGCAGCCGGAAGCGGCGCCGGGCGGAAGCGCCGCAGGGGCGTGAGCGGGGCGGGGCAGGGCTGGGCTGGGCTGGGAGCGCCGGGGCGGGACGAGGACGAGCCGGGGCCGAGCCGAGATACGGAGCGCGGCCGGGATACGGAGCCCAGGCGCGGAACTGAGGCGGCGGCCCCGCCGGTGATGTGCGCTCCGCAGGGGCTGCCGGCCCGCTGAGGTCGGTGCGAGGAGCGCCGGCGGCCATGCCGTGCACCTGCGGGAACTGGCGGCGATGGATCCGGCCGCTCGTGGTGCTGCTCTACGTCGTGGGGCTGCTGGTGGTGGTGCCGCTCTGCGTGTGGGAGCTGCAGAAGCTGGAGGTGAGGGACGCGGCCGGGACCGCTGGCAGCGGGCTCGGCCCCCGGCAGGGGGGCGGCGGGGAAATGTGTTACCTCATCGGGAAAGTATAAAAGTATCGAAGTCACGGGTGCCAGGAGGATGGAGCCAGACTCTGCTCGGTGGTGCCCAGCAACAGGACAAGAGGCAACGGGCAGAAACTGATGCACAGGAAGTTCCACCTGAACATGAGGAAGAACTTCTTTACTGTGCAGTGACCACACATTGGAACAGATTGTCCAGAGAGGCCGTGGAGTCTACCCTCCTGGAGATATTGAAGAACCATCTGGACACAATCCAGTGCCATGTGCTCTGGGATGACTCTGCTTGAGCAGGGAGGTTGGACCAGATGATTCACTGTGCTCTCTTCCAACCTGACCCATTCCGTGAAAGGACAGGCTGGAGAAGTGCCATTGTGCTGCTGGACTCATTTGTCCTGCTGCTAAAGCCCTAGTGAACCTCAAAGGAACGGGGTAGTGTTTCTTTACCCTTCTGTTTCCGTAATAGTTGCTGTTTGAACAGTTGTTACAATTCTGAAGAAATTCAGGTCAACCAAGAGTAACAAGAATAGGTCAAGTTGGAAGGGACCACAGTGGATCACCTGGTCCAACTTCCCTGCTCAAGCAGGGTTGTCCCAGAGCACATGGCACGGGATTGTGTTCAGATTGTTCTTGAATATTTCCGGCAGGGGAGACTCCACAACCTCACTAGACAATCTGTTCCAATGTGTGCTCACTGCACAGTACTTGGTCAGGTGAATCTTCCTGTGCATCACTTTCTGCCCATTGCCTCTTATCCTTTTGCTGGGCACCACCAAGAAGAGTCTGGCTTGCTCCATAAGTTCATCCCAGAGCTTAGATTTTGAAACTTAGTACTAATGCTGGCATTCATAAAGATATTTCTGTCTGTTTTGGGAGAATCTATTAGAGCATCTCTATGGATAGAGAAGCTGCTCTTTCATGCTGGTGGCACCATAACTGTAGTGTGTGAATTACACACACGGATTATCACATTGCTTCTCTAACAAGAAGTAAAACTTTAACCTTAAAATATATGTATTGTTCAATGTGATACAGGTCTGTGCCCCCAGATGTAGGCTTTTTCAGGGTATAATGTTCAGGACTTAATGACAGTAAGATCTGTCTTGAATATGTTTAAAAATTTTCAGGTTTGAATTCCTGTTCTGATGTAATGTATGTTCAGCATAATTGATTTTTATATCCAATTTTATACCATTAAGTCTTACTTGTAGAGAAACTGATCAAAAGTAAAACTAGAAAACAACATGAGACATGGGATGTTGATGTCAAGTAGGGGATCACAGAAAAGATTCTCATCAAAGGAAACTGAGAAGAGTCTCCTGTGTTTCTCAGGTTTTGGAGTTGTTTTTCAGAGAGCTTTGATTTAAAATTTCAGCCCCGTGTCTTAGCAGACATTGTAGTTTTATGTATCTACATCCATATCTATTTCTGTTTGTTAAATGAAAATGAATTGATTACTATTTGGAACTTGATTTTAAAGTTAAAAAATACTTTAAATCAACAGGTTTTCAGAAACTTTATAATGCAGCACTGAATCAAGACAAGTTCCATACATAAAGCAAGGAATCTGTTGTGGGTTTCAGTGAATTAAGTACTGGGCATTACTCTGTTTTCGTGGAATGTTTTGTGTACTTGTACTAACTTGACAGTATTAAGACTAGATCTTTAATCTTGCAAGGTTGGAATTCATACCAAGGCATGGTTTATCGCTGGGATATTTCTGCTAATGACTATACCAATATCTCTCTGGGGGATACTACAACACTTAGTCCATTATACTCAACCTGAATTACAGAAACCAATAATAAGGTAATATTTCATGTTTTACCTATGCTACAAATATTTGATTTAATTCAGACTAAAAATTCTTTTAGTAATATAAAATGTTCTTTTGTTGCTGTAACAGGATTCTGTGGATGGTGCCGATTTACAGTTTAGACAGCGTAAGTGTTTGCTTACTGTTACCAGCTTAATCAAATTCTGATTGTTGTGGGAGTGAGGGAAAACAAACTGTGCTGCATGGACGGGGCAGTCCTAGAAACTTCTGGGCATTCCTGTTTATGGAGTATGTCAGAACCATAGTTCTAGTCATACCACATTCTTCTTCTAGAGATTTGGGGTTGCTTTTGATAACCTTTCTTAACCCTGTCCTTGAGTATTCTTTATGATGGATGTGGAATGGGGTACTGCTTTTGGCCCAACCATCTTAATAGCAGAAGTGGAAACAGGACTGATTCAAGAACTGCATCAAAATTCAGTGCTGTACCTTCCTTACCCAAGTGAGGCTTACTAGTAGAATTCTTTCCTGAGTTATGCTTAGTGCTGAAATGATTCATTTTTGGTTCAGGGGACAAGGGATAATATCCTTTGTGGAGTACAACAGCATTGTGATAGAAACTGAGAGCTCTCATAACCACAGTTTCACTAAAAATAAAAAATGCAGTTTTGGTTTGAAACTCAGAGAGCTGGCTAGTACAGGTGGAATCTGAAGTCCTGTATGTGTTATTTTGTAGCTGTAGCATTGCTCTCCCCTTAGCCCAGTGCTTTCGGCCCTGTTTGATTAGTGCCTGCTGGCTCAAGAGTTTGCTGAACCAGGGTTGTCGTTGGAATCCCTTTTGTTTTTCTCGCACATAACCTTTTGTGTACCTCTCTTCTTGCAGTGGATAGCTTTGAAATACCCCAAGATTGCAATATATGTGGATACATGTCGAGAATGCTATGAAGCTTATGTCATCTATAACTTTATGGTTTTTCTTTCAAATTACTTAACCAACCGGTACCCAAACCTTGTGTTAATAATAGAAGCGAAAGATCAGCAGAGACATCTGCCCCCTCTCTGTTGCTGTCCGTCGTGGGCTATGGGAGAGTGAGTATATCATGACATCTTCAAGCTTTAGGCTGTGTAGGCAGCTCCAAACATTTTGTTTTCATATTTAGCAGCGTAACATTTGCTGCTTGATGGAGTGAGTTTATGGTTTGTATGTGTTTGATCAGCTGTGAATCTCTGTTGAAAGCAGCTGTGGATGAGTGAAAATCAAGCTATAAAATATCCTGTGAATCTGACTTAGATACTAAGCTGCATTGATTGACTCAGGGAGTGCTGAAGGAAACTTCCTTATTTTTGAAAAATATTAAAAAAGGTCTCCTGGAATCTGCTTATTTTGCTGTTTGCCAAAAACCTCATGTGGAATTGGGAATAGACTGGGTAGCCTGTTGCTTTTACTTCAGGTGAAGGCTGAAAGGCCGTATGCATCTAAACTGTTTATTTCTGAATGCTTAAACTGATAAAATCTCTCTCCCTCTCTTAGATTTTGATTAAGCTGTTTGGGGAGAGGGGAAGGGAAGGTGGCCTTCAGTGGTCACAGCTTTTTTACACAGTTTGCCATATTGGGCAAAGAGCTTTGGTTCTCTTAAGCGTTTAGGGCAATTATTATTATTTTTAAGTCTCTTACATTTAGACTCAAAGCTTTTCTTACAACTTCAAACACAGCAAAAATTTGCATTCTCTTTGCTTAGCCCAGCCAGAAGCTTTTCATGGCTAAAATAAGTGAATCATTGAATATTTCCTGTAATATTTCTGTAAAAATCCAGCTCTTTTGTGTATTTTGTATATATACACTGTATGACGCAACATCTTAAATCCCGGATGTACAAGTTGAAATTGCCATAAAATTAAAATTTACCTTAGTAAATCTACTGAAAATAGAAATAATCCATAAGAGAATTGTATTTAAATCCTTGTACAATAAATTTTGTGTTTCTCTTTCAGAGTTTTGTTATTTAGATGCAAACTGGGTGTTTTGCAGTACACTGTTGTCAGACCATTTACTACCATTATTGCTTTGTAAGTACACTGATAAATAATTAATACTGATCTTCAGGATATGATTTTGACTTGAAAGAATTTTCATGCCCTTTTTATTGGATCAAGGCAGTTTGAAAGCAGACTCGTGTTGCATGCTAAATGGGTCCCAACAATTTGAATCAACTTATGATTTCTTTATGGCTTTTCTATAGCAAATGACTATTTGCAGAATTGAAATCATAAATACTTAAAGCCAGCTTCTGTAATCAGTGGGATAGAATATGGAGTACTGTTGGGGTGGGAAAAACATTTTTATGATCTCTTAATTTTTAGAATCTTTTTTCCTCTTCCCTTTTTTTCATTTACTTCAACAACTGAGAATTTTTGAAGGCAGGTTTCGTGTAACTTCTAAATTTTTTTTAAACTTCGCATGTGACGAGCTTGACTGTGTGCCTTTATATCATACAGCCTGGGTGTGTAAAGGAACAGTAGGCAGGGAGGCATGATGATGCTGAAAGCTTCATTTCCTGAGCTTTGTATTGATGGTCATTAGTGTTAATTCTGTGGGACTGTGGAAGAAGTTGCTACTCACCATGAACATCCGTATAACTATTTCTATTTCATATCTGTGTATATGTGTGCTGTTGGAAACTTACTCTTGTGCAGGCCCCCAGTGCCCTAATGTAAGTACCAGAAGAGGTTTTTAATTCTAAGGATTGATTGATTGATACAGTGAGGATGTAGCACTTGAGGGAAGTGATCTGTTTCTCCATAGTGATTAATTCTAAAAATTCTTCCAGAATTTGTGAACTAGTGGGAGTGTATGATGAAGGAAACTTCAGCTTCAACAATGCATGGACTTACCTCGTTATACTTAACAACATGTCACAACTAGTAAGTATCAGTAGTACATCTTCCTGCTCTTGGAATTCATCATTATTATGTGAATCTGCTATCTGAAGTGTTGGCAGTGATTGTGTTAATGTCTGGGAATTCTTACAGGTAGAATATTTTCTATTTTAAGTCAAAATTGCTCTCTGTTAAATATTATGTATGAAAACCACTGGAAAACCATATAATCTAAAACTTTTATTATTTTTACTATGATGCTCCATAAAGCGAGCACCTTTCTATCCCAAATTATTTTATGGGTCAGGTAGTATGGCCCAGGCATTAGAGCTGCAGACCTGCCCTTCTCTGGTAAGAGATGACTCCACTTGTCCTCACAGCTTCCTCCTGACACTCATACAAAGAATTAATATGTTAAAAATTCTTTGTGAAAAATGGTGATAACATTCACAGGAAAAAATGAAAATGGTGTGTGCAGTGCTGAGGGTCTGGCCTCTCAACACCCTTTTTTATTGGGTCAGCTGTCAGATAATGTCAGAGTAAGATGTCAGCCCCTAAAATTGAGAGTTTTATTTTGGAGTCCATGGATTGCTTTTACTTCTCTAGGTCAGAGCAGCATAACAACTGGGATCATTTGGAAATTTTGTCCTCTTGCTGCCATCTGTGTTTGATGGGTGACTGTCACAGAAGGAGCTTTAATTGCTTTCTGCTGTGACAGCAGTCCCAACAGCAGCATGAACTTCTGTGTCCTGTTTGAAATGATTGGAATTTCAGGAATAAAAAAAAGAAAGTGCTTTAAAACAGAAAGTCCTTTAAAAAAAAAAAAAAAACAGATAGCATTTTAACGTTGTCTCATGCTATGATACATATTTTAACTGTAGAGATGGTGTAACACAACTCCCTCACAAAATAAACATGGATTTGAAAGCTTTCATTGATTTTCTTTTCCTTGTCAGTTTGCCATGTATTGTCTGGTGCTGTTTTATAAAGTACTGCGTGAGGAACTGAACCCTATCCAGCCTGTTGGCAAGTTCCTTTGTGTGAAGATGGTAGTTTTTGTTTCTTTCTGGTAAGTGGATTTTTTACTTGTTACTTCTTGCCTCAGGGCAGATTATAAAAGAGCTAAAAAGGTTGGATTTGTTACTGAGGTTAGAGAGCTTAAAATGTCTACCCATAATCTCAGTGAGGGGAAGAGGGTACTACTGTGTTGGAGAGAGCAGTCTTGTTGACTTACTTATTTTAGAATCTACCTGCAGCTATTTCAAAACTATTTTTTTTTCCTTTTAAAAGTAAAAAAATTACTTTTTCAACGTAAGTTACTGTAAGTTAAATAAAAATTGCTGTTTGAGCATTGCTCACACTTAGCTGCTGATGAGGGAGTGTATTTGACTATCACAGCATTACTCTCTGAGATACAGCAACATCCTAAAGGAGAAAAAACTTGTTCTAATGACTAACCGGAGCAACAAACTCTCCTTTAGTTCTCTGTTCTGTTGGTCTTTAGAGTCAGGGATGAATGAGATCTCTTGTTAAGTTTGTTTCATCTTCTTAAAATCTAAGTATATAAACATAAAAGGGTTTTTTTTATGATTCTCCCTATATATACATATGACCAGATTTGCTTGCAGATTTTTGGCATTACTGTCACAATTCTAGTATAAATACTTCTTATAATAAATTCTATTTATAGGCAGGCTGTGCTCATTGCATTGCTGGTGAAAGTTGGTGTTATTTCTGAGAAACATACCTGGGATTGGCAAAGTGTGGAAGCTGTGGCTACAGGCTTACAGGTAGGAGCAGATGGTTTTTTTTTGGGGAGAAATGGTTATATGTAAGGTGACATAGCTGATCTCAAGGAAATACTTGGAAATACTCGGAAATACTCAAGGAAATAACACAGGCTTGATTAGTAATGATTTATTCTAAGCTGGGCTAAGTTTCAGCCAATGAGCCCATATGAGTTTTCTGCTTAACACTTCTGTATCCATGGCAGAAGGAATGTGCCCCAGTGAAATATGTCTGGAAATGCCTTGCATTTCTTCTTGCAGGTATTCCTTGTAGAGCTGCTGCTTGTTAAATTATCTGTTTAAGTGAAGTCCTGTATGTGTGGCTCTCTGAAAGCTGTCAAGAATATCCTGGTGGAAAAGTAGCTTAAGTCAGTATCCTGGGGCAATTCCAGCCTTTCAGTTGTAGAAGAAACCCAGGACTACTTTTCTCCTGTTATGAATGATTAAGTCAGTGTCTCTGTCATTGCAGGATTTTATAATTTGTGTGGAGATGTTCCTGGCTGCTATTGCACATCACTACAGTTTTTCCTATAAACCTTATGTTCAAGAAGCTGAAGAAGGCTCATGCTTTGACTCCTTCCTTGCAATGTGGGATATTTCTGATCTAAGGGCAGATATCTCCGAACAGGTTCGAAATGTGGGTAAGTGACAGGATTTGTACAATCTATCAACAGCATCTGTATTTTCAGCTTCATGTCACACTATTGCCCACCTTTATAGTAGCCTAAGAACATTCTATTACAAAATCAGTTGCAGCTGCATCTCTAGAGGATTTCATGGTTTATCTGGCACTTTTTTCTTTCCAGAATTCCTGACTGATTTAGAGTCTAGTTTTTAATTTTTCTTTTAAAAAGAAAAGGTTAAGTAAGTTGTTTTTCTCTTAAATGGAAAGATGTACTTTTCTTTATTAAAACTAACAATGCCCATGTGTAAACGAATACAAAACAAAGACTTATCTTCTAATTTAACATGACTGTTTTAGAGTTGATGTGTTCAAAGACTAGTGTTGGAAGGATTAAAAAATCTTTTCATTTCGCATAATTCTAGGGAGAACAGTTTTGGGCCAGCCGAGGAAAATGTTTTTTGCTGAGGATCATGAACAAAACGAGCATACAAGTTTACTGTCTTCATCTACTCAAGACCCAATTTCTGATGCTTCTTCAATACCATCTTCACCCATGGGTCACTATCAGGGGTTTGGACACACTGTGACCCCTCTCACAACACCGACGACAGCCCCTGCAGTCGATGGGGTTTTTAACCCTTCTGCCAGTGAGGATGCTGAGGAATCACCTGAACTAGAGAACAGCTTAGCAGAGAAAGCTCTGGATAAAACTTAAACTTGCCTTTTCTTTGAATGTGTCAAGGAGTCATTACATACTTGCCACATGTGTCCTGTTAACATGTACTATTAAGGATGAAAGTTGAAAGCTGCTGCATGGACAGGAAGAGGATATGGTATGACTCTAACTGACATCTGAATCCAGAATCTATAATGGACATGAGCATCTGTGAGTACCCCATGGATATGAAACACGCACACTGTAAAGGTTTCTGCATAAATTTAAGCGTCATCTCCTTAAAATGCTTAACGCTTCCATGTCACATCAAAATTACACTAAATTTCACTAGTGCAAAAGAAACATTTTAAAAAATCCTCTCCTCATATAAAAATGAAGTGCAAGTACAACCAGCAATGGGAAAGCCTAATTTCAAGAATGTATTTTAAGGAGAGCAGTAGCAAAAACTGTGTTAACTTTGCTTGTCTTAATGACGGTTAATGTCCATACCCAATGCTGAATGGAACGTGGGTGAATGATAGCTTCTGTAGAGATGCCACCTTCTTCCCATTCCTACATAGCTAAAGTCCTTTCATGAAGGTAAGTTACTACTAAGCATTAGTAAAGAATGTCTACAAAGAAAACATTCCCTGCAGCTCTTGCTATCAAAGTCCATGCCCAGATCATATGACTGGTGTATCTGTTGTCTTTGAGGCTCACGGTTTGTAAGTCTTTTATATCCGGAAGAGACAGCCAGGATGGTAGGTTTTGGATTAATACTTTACCTTGACTATTCTTTTCCCTAGCCTTCTAAAATAAGAATAACGGTTACTTACCTTAAAATACATGGAGGGGGAATGAAGGATATCAAAAAGGAAGTAGAAAACAAAACTGATTTCTTTATTTTGGGCTGCAGTAAATTCTTTAACACTTAAGGTTTTTTTAAGCTGTTAAAGCAGGATATCTTGTGTCTGTAGTAATTTGTGTTCTTAAATTTGTGTCTGTGTGTGATAGTATTATGCTTCTAGTATAGCCTGGATTCAAATGTAATAGCTGGTTTTTTCCCCAGAGAAGACCTTTGCTGAGGTAAAACTATGTAGCTAGTCTAATACTGGAGCTGCTAGGACTAAATTTCAGCCTAAGAAGCAGTACACTTGTATCAAAATGTTACTTTGCAAAAACTGACAATGTCGGAGAGGTATTGTTTTTATCCCATTATCAGATTTTTACTATTATTGCATGTTTGCAATCTGACAAAAACAACCAAATCAGTAGAACACTACTTTTTAAATGACAAGATCTTAAGTTTCTTTTTCAGCATTGTTAGCATTTCCAGGATAAATGTTTAACTTCTGGCTGTCAGTAAATTCATCTTAAGTGCTTTTTTTGCAGTACTAGTGTGATGTAAATATTGCGCCTTACTCACTAGGCTGCATATTTTATAGCTGAGTATGTACTTGCTGTATCTGAAGTTAGTGAGAAAGTGGAAATCATTATTTTCAATTTGCCAACTCATTGCCTTTGTTGTAAATAAGCAATTAAAGATTTTATTTAAACGGTTCACCTTCGATCAATCTGATTTACTATTACAGTAATTTAAGAGCGTGAATAAGACATGACTACAACTGTCCTTATGGACGAAGAGGATCTTAAGTAGAACTGCTACAAGAGTTTGTGCTTTCAGTATTTCATGGCTTGTACTGTAAAGGGAATTCTTGTTTGGGCTTATGAAGAATCAGAATCTTCTAATGCATGCTTGATCCCAGGTATCACCTTAGGCAGGTTCACAATGCATTGGGACTTCAGTGCCCACTGCAGCCACTACCGGAAATAACCTGATTTCCTGCATGTATACAGGTAAAAAGGGTAGGAGTAATATCTGAGGGAGCAGGGCTGCTGCATGCAGACTAGCTACTGTGCTCTAGCTCTTCAAAAACCTCACTCTGAAGAAATTTTTTCAACACTTGAAGTTATATCTGTTTGGTGTAAAACTAAGGTGCAGAGAGGACCTTGATAGGAAAAAAGCTGTTTAAGTGTCTTGGTTACTTCTTTCAGAGTATTTCTTGACAGCTACTAAGTTGTTTTATTATTATTCAGTTATTCAATTTGCACAATGTAATATTCCTGGGGGGAAAGTTATTTTTTTAATTGCAGTAGCTTACAGGATTGTACCTTTCCCTAAAGACTGCTACTGAATTTTAAAAATAAATACAAATCTTGCAATGATACCTACCCTGTCTTTTGAAAACCATTAATTACCACAGTATTCCAATTCCACAGCAAAACCTGTCACAATTACCTAAAAAGGTAATTCGCAAATAGTTGATTTTCCTCTTAACTGTATTGACTCCTCTGATGTTTTATGCCAAATCTCCTCCCAAGCTTTTTAATCAGAAGTCTTGAGGATTGCTCTTGCCTTACACTCAAGGAGACTAGAATGTCTTTCATTTGTCTTGAAGTCATTTTGCTTTCACCTTAATTACTAAAATCTTAATAAATACACCTAACCTACTCTGTAAGGTTTTTTTTTTTATCAGAGGTCTTCCTGCACAAGAAACCTTTCTCTTTTCTATGAAAAAACCTTTTGCACTTTCTATAAAACTGCACTCTGCTGAAATCACCATGTATGTGCCAGGTTTAGTTGTGTCAGACTAAGTTAAAATTTTATGGATCATGGTTTTAGGTTTTGGGTTTAAGAAACACTGGTTTTCCTGTAGTATCAAAAACCTCTGTCCTTGAAACTTGTATTTCATTATACATTTTACCCCTTAGATAAAGTATGGTATCCAGTTACTTTATCTTCACAAAACATGACTTTGTGCCTCTACTTTGGAAAAAATGAAATGGAGATGTTTCCTCCACCCTTCCAAAAGCAGCTTTATTACAGCAATTTATCAGGTGCAGGTTCAGCTGAGGCTGGGACAACTCCAGCTCTAACAGTCCCTGAAGTTAAACTGAGCAAACTTTACAGAAATAGAAATTGATATATAGAAATAAGTTAAACTATCTGAAATGTTTGACCTAATGAAGAGTATATAATGACTTCAGCAGGTCCAGAACTTATAGAAGAATCATTTTTTGATGGGTCTTTATACTGGCTGCTGTTAAAGCAAGAATTGCCACTTCTCCATTAAACATACTGCGCAGTAAAAAGAAGCTTAGCTACAGAAAAATCTTGGTAACAGTCTTCCTCCTGTCTGCAGAGGTAGAATCAGTGCTGAGTTCAAAGCTTTTTTTAGTCTTCCACTTGTATTTCATAGAAGGATTTAGTATTATTCCACAGACTTAGTAGAAGGAACTGGTTACCTGCATTATACCACGATGTAGTGCTGTAGAACATCAGCAGGAACACTGCAGTGACGGATGGTATTTTATACAACTTTCTACAGATAAGTAGAAACAGCCACAGCTATTTATTGCTGGTAGAGGTACCTGGATGCATTTTTCCCTCCCTACAGCTGACCTGGTAGATCTCTGTCACACTGCTGCAGTCACTACATGGGCCAGCAATCAGGTTTGTGCTGCAGTGAACACAGTATCTCCTCTAGCTTGGAAGGATACTTTAACAGTGCAAATTTTAGTCCACCAGTTGAACCTCAGTATCTCTTATTACAGTCTTTTTGATCAGTAAATCAAATCAGCCTTTTTGATCAGTAAATAAAATTTAGACTTTAATACAAAGTAACAGCAGTGTTGTTCTGAACATTCCGTTTATGCATAGGTAATTGAGCACAAATCACTTCACACAGGACATTCTTCACCTTTTAACTGTAATGCTGATATTGCTTTTATGGTGTTGGACATCAAGTACAAGTTCATCTCCAACCTGAACTGGGATGGGCTGGTCCAGAACAACTGCAGCTTGTTTCCAGTGTGAGAACTCATCAAATGTGTTCAGGCTATGGTCTTCATCTAGATGGATGTGATACCAGAAGGGAATGGCAGTGACCTGGCCGGACTTACAAATTTGTACCTGAAAATATTTAAAATAATGATCAGTTATACTACTTTGTTCTTTGAAAAGGAAGTGGTTCAAATAATTTCTATCCTTTTCAGAGACAGCTGCAGATAAATAAATCCTGTATTGAAATGTTTAGCGCACAAGACCAATTAAGAAGCAGCACTGCAGAAGAGTAGTTAAATGGACTTTGGGCCCCAGAACTCACCTTCACTTCTCTGCTGGGGCTGTTCAGCAGAGGGTTCATGAGATCCAGCCTTAAAAGCTCTTCTGGCTTGCTCAAGGGTACACAGGGTAACGTGGAGAGATCCAAATACACACGAACAGGTACCTGAAAGTATAGACCAGAACTTCAGGCAGCATCAGCCATTACAAAGAGAAAAAGTAGTAAACTTAATCATAATACTAAAGTTGCCAGGAGTTACTGGAATAGCTGTAAGAGACAAAATGCAAAATACAGCCCTCTAATGCCCTCTGAAACACTAGAATACAGTTGCCTGGGAACAGTTACAGCACAGTCATTCTTCTGTACAGTAACGGGGACAAAATTTCCATGCCATTTCTAAAACAAACATTGCCCATTTTAGTCTATCTCAAGGTCCCTGTGTGGTTACAAAAAACTTCACTTGATAATTTCAACAGTGGTTTTTTTATAGTTCACACCAAATCTAAACAGCTAAACAGATGCAGCTTTGAAATCAGAAGCCACCCACCAGCTTCCTACCTTGAACTGGTTGATGAAAGGGGCTATATTAAACCCCAGGGTTGGTTCTGTTCCTTGAACAGCACTCTCCAGCAACAGAGACTCAGATTCTACAAGCATCCCATATACCAACACATACTGTGGGAAAATCTTCCCTCCACTGTGAAGTAAACACCTGTAAAATAAGAGGGATTTCACCTGTAAAGCTGATCAATCAGCAGTAGTGAAAGAACCGTAAATACATTTAAGAAAGGCACACTCGTTCTTCCTCTGAAGTCAATTGCTCCTAAGCATAACGTGCCATCACTAAACACAAAGGTTAACAGTAAGGTTTCCCTAGGCCCACAAAAGAGGATAAATCCATTTCACACTTATTTACCCATTTCCATTAGTTTCCTTCTCCTTTGCCTTCCTTCCCACTCCTCCTGCTGTGAAGAACAGCAGCTTTGCTGCTGCCTCCCTGGCTGTTCTGACACCACGGGTTTGTCTTTTAGCAGGACCAGTTTGTTCAGACAACCATTTGACATGTACACAAATCTGGGCTTTTCTCAACTTACACTAACAGCTACCTTAATTATTCTTTGTTATCTTGCAAACTTCTGACAGACCAAGGAATATGATCATCCATTCATATTCTTGCATAAAAAAAGATAAAAGAATCTGAGATGATGAAATCATGATGCTTTTCTAAAGAAAATACATAGTATACAATGGTCATGCCAGAAACACTGGGAGGTTCAATGCAAGGAAAAATTCTTTTACTACAGAAGAAACATAACAGTAGTTCCATACTTTTTCTACAGTAGAAACATAACATAGTTACAAGCAATATCTTAAAATTTTTCAGGTAATTACAGATTCCTACAAATACTTTTGTCCTTCTATACTGTACCTGGATATTGCAGCCTTTTCCATCACTTCCTGCTGGATTAAACCTGATGTCTCTATAACATCCAAGATAATAATACTCCACAGTTTGTCTGATTTGGGTCTCTGCAGCACCACACTTTCTTCTTCTAAGTGGCTGAGCCAAAACTCTAATGTTTCTTTAGGGAAATGGTTTGCTTCTGCAATGACATTAAGTGCTGCCTGATGCTGATCTTTCTCAACAGAACTGTAGGCTCTAACTGGTCCAAGCTTGCCAGCTATAATTGGCAGGATGGAGAAGCCTTCAGATACATCTAAAATGTAAAAAGCATCAGGATCCACACCTAGAGAGCTCATGTTTTGATGCTCTTGGAGGTTTATCCCACTGCCATGTCCATCAACATCCATGGAGTGCAAGTCCTTACTTGGATTTAATGACAGCAGCACTTTGCTCATGGCAGCTTTAAAGCATTCATGGTAAGCTATGTCATTCAGCAGGGCTATTTCTGTGGATTCCAGCACACACACTGGAGTGCTGCCATCCTGTTTGGTGCTTGTTTGAAGTCCAGCCAGAGCATTACATAATTCAGCCTCATTGCCCAAACTCAGCACGTTGTCTCTGTCACTGAAATCCATCCCACACTCTGAAGGCAAAGAAGTAATTTTCTGGATCTTCAAGTAGCAGTCTTGACAACAAACTTCCATCATCACAGTATCTCCAGTCTTCACAGAATAATCTTGGCAAAAGAACATTTAAAAAGTCATGTCAGTTACAGACACATCACTGAAGAGCCTTAGGGTGCCTGAAACAAACCAACCCACCCACCCTATTATCTCATTTGTTCAAATCTGTGCCACAAGAGGAGGACATCAAACCACTAGAGTGTGTGTGCAAAGCAGGGTGACCAGATAGGGAAAGGCCTCAGAGGGAAGACTTACGAAGAGCAGCTGAGGGCACTTGTTTTTTTCAGCCTGGAGAAGAACAGGCTGAGGGAAGATCTCACCACAGTCCAGAACCCCCCTCAAGGGTGGCAGTGGAGGGGAAGGTGCTGATCTTTCTCAGAGAAGGCACATGAGGAAATGGAATGAAGCTGCATCAGGGAAGTTCAGATGGGTCATTCAGAAAAGGTGCTTCAACCACAGGATTATCAGTCACTTGAACAGGTTTCCCAGGGTAGTAGTCACAGCATCTTGCCAGAGTGCAATGAGCACCTGGATAATGCTCTTAGACAGGTGATTTAATTTTAGGTAGTCCTGCAAGAAGCAGGAAGCTGGACTCTATGATCCTTATGGGTCCCTTCCAGCTTGAGGATATTCTAAGATTTTAGGAAACAGGAATATAAAAGGTGGGTGAGTAGAGAGTAGACACTGTTAAAGATTACACTGCCAATGCCTGTAAGTGGAGAGTATTGAAGCTGAATCCCACATGGGGCAAGGGGTAGGTAGGAATGTTTAATAGTTTTGGGTAATTTTGGGTTTGTGGCAGTAACAGCTAGCAATTCCTACCTCACCTTGCCCCCCTTCCTCTCCTAAGTTGTATGTTCACCAAGTCAGCCAGTCAGTAGCCCCACTTTTTGGAGATGCTCCACAATGCATTAAATTCAGTACAGAAAAAACCCCAACTTAATGAAAAGCTTTCTCCTGGATCTCATCTGCTTAACAGCAAAGTCCCACAAACAAGCCCTGATGAAAAGACTGTG